ACGAGTGAAGCTGCCAATAGCTTGTCTCTGCAAAAAAACCTCCTCCCATTTGTTTGTTCAGCATCAGCTGACATCAGTTACATAAGGCTCGTGATTGGAGGAAGTCTGTTTGCAGACTCAAGCTATTTCACTTGTGATTGGAGGCTAGCAATAGGAGGAAGCCTTTTTGCAGAGACAAAGGATGGGCAGTTTTGCAACCGCATGGTTCTCTCCTCGGCTGACTTCCTTGAATAAGACGCCCTTCAATTTCTAGCGTAAAGATTTTAGAAAAAAGTATTGTCTTATAGTCGGAAAAATATGGTATTTGGTTTCAGTGCTAAATTCTGCAAGCAGGCAGACCTTATAGGAATCCTATGTACCATGAGTTACATAGATATATAAACTCTAATTAACGTAGTCCTACCATCCTTCTCTTGGGTTTATATTTAAATAGGTAACTGAAATCCATACCCAGGTTAACTTAGAACAGATTTTCCAACCTTCTGGCTGACAACACAATTAAGATAGAACGGTACTTCTATTTTTTCATGTTATAGAGATAGAAGAAAATGTTTTATTTCTTACTTACGTATAAATGTTAAAGGGAGAATATCCTGTTAGTTTATACTTGTACAACAATTTAATAAATCAGTGATCCATAATACAGCCAAGAACCATACAGCACAGCTGATAAGCATTTCAAGATGAAGTTATTTAGATTTAGATTTGACCTTGATTTTTGTTACCTATGACTTTTAAGATATATATTATTCTCTATCAGCCAAATGTTATTTTCTCTTTTTTTCTTGTGAAGTTCAATAGATCTTATAAAATAAAGCAATGGAGACCATTGCAAATTTTGTGCCTATTATAGATCCTCCATATCTCAAATCAGTTTGAAGGATAATTAATATTTTATTTTACGCAATGAGATATTTGGACCCATAGCAATATCCTTATTAACAAAAATGAAATTTATTTTTAGTGTTTCTCATTCTCATACTGAAAATTCTTTGTAAAAAGATACAATTATAAAAGAAAGAAAATGTATCAGAATATAAGTGATGGCAAAGACAAGAAAATTTGTACAGACGCAAATTTCCACCTGCTTGTTTTTGTAAAAGAAGTCTAAAGAACTCATTAAAAAAAATCAGGCAAGTTTTAAATATTAAGAAATGGCAGACTATATAAGTGTGAGCAGCATTGTAGCATCATGTGGTTATCTGACAGACATGAAGAAATAAAAGCAAAAAAATATTAGCATTTGAAAAAAAAATAGAAAAAGGCAACATTATGTAGGACGCTACTAAAACAATTTTATTCTGGATTTCTGATAAAAAGACGATTGCTTTTTTTTAAAGTTGGTTTTAAGATACTGTCCTGATGTGGAGCCATTAGGTATATATTTCATTTTCTTGCCCAAAACAGCATGTCCCATTTTGTTTCTTAACACTGTGTTTACTCAGACATGTAGAAACGGTACATAAGGGCCACAATGATTGCTGCTATTGCTGGAATCACCCAGTTGGTCCATGAGCTGGAAAAAAACAACAACATTATTTTCATACAGTAGCCACTAGCTACTAAATGTTTCAGAAGATAAATTCATTTACTGTATTTTCAATAAAGCAACTCTGGCTTGATATCACGCTCCTAGGTAAGCACTGAGACAATCTGTTTAGTAATAAGATAAATGCCTTATGCAATGATTAGTGAGTAAGTACAAGACTTTGTATGTGTGCCCCAAGACAGACCTACACTGATCCTATCTTCAGCTGAACTCTATCACTGGTGGAAATGAAATCCAAAATAATAGTTTTGTTTTTTAAGTTAAAAGTGATCACAAAAATATTATTCTTGCTTATAGCCAGACTTAGAGATGTCTTCTGCTTAACAGTCTCTGAGCTGTCCAGGCACAAATTCAATAAATTCCTCCATACTCCTACAACTGTATATCTCTCAAAACATATCCCACATATCTAGAAGATTCCAAAGGAATTAGTAAAAGCTTCAGGAGGAATAATCAATATTCATCCCTGGATTGCAGCCATAAAGGATACTTAAAGCATAAGTACCGGCTAGCTTACTATGAGTATGATGATACTATCACTTGTCTGAAGATGTTCTAAAGTAATCAAAGAACCATATTCTATAGGAACTAACTTGCTTTTATAACATAATAAAAGTATTCATAATTAAGCTAAGAATTTTTTTTAAGATAAATTATTACAAGCAATTATTATAGGTAATTTTGCTATTGTTACTGTTAGCAAAAAGCAATTCTGCACACCCATTATTACCCCAATCTAGTCTTAGCAGAACTCATGCTGGATTATAAAAAGTATTAAAACACAGTACTATCAAATTGCAAGTTGAATAAAAATTGTACCTGGAACTAGATTCAACAGTGGTAATGTAAGGGCCCTGAAAGACAAAGACATTTAATTGCAGACTTTGAATGATTTTTGAGCTTCCCCTTCTTACTAGAAAAATAGCTCATGTAACGACTGACTTGTTCTGCTTGGCTTCTTCAAATTATCACAGATTTACTACTGTACCTTGCTCCTACCTATTTTAAGTTATCATTAATTATTGGTGCTCCCTTGCTAGTTCATTCTGATTCACTGAATTCTAGAGCATATTAAATGGGATCCAAACTCCACACAAACAAACTAATCTTATAAATTATACTGTGTTTTTAGGAGTTCCATTTGAAGCATTTTCACCTATAAAATTGGTCACACAATTCTCTATACATTTAATTTGGTTGCTAAAAACATGAAATTGTCTCTTGGTTTAAAAATCAAACTCTAGAATAAGAAGACAGAGCAGATAAATGACAAACATTAGGTACTTCATGTACATTCAGAAGACAAAATAGTACTCTAATAATCTCTCATTGTCTTTCAGAATGGAAAAAGTTGGAAGAGGCACTGCAAAGAATGCTTGCCAATAAATATTACTTATCCAACTTTGAATACAAAGCTTTCATGTTCACTAGGAGCAAACCAACCAAAACAGCTACCCACTTTTGCTCATAAAATGTAGATAATGAAACAGAATCTTTTTTTCTGTATACATGAATATTTCAGAAACTATTCAGTATTGATTGGTGATGACCATCTTGCTGCTGGAAATTGAGGAATGTGTACATTAATTCAAATAGTTTGGGCTTGCCCACTATAACCATATTTTGGTTTGAGATCCCAGTTTTCAACTGATGCATATGTTTTTCTTGGTTGTATTCCCAATATTTGGATTTTATTAAGGCATCAGGAATTATGGATCTTCATGCAAACCTGTTAGCCAAATAAATCATCCAACATTGGAAATATCAATTTATACCTGACTGCAAGAGTGAACTGCTGATATATGCTGTTTGCTGACAGATGAATTACTAGTATTTTTTTTTTTATCAGAGACATGGAAGAAGACTTTTGAAGAAGTGGTCCATGATAGAAATTCAGGATTTTCCCCCTTATCCTTTAGTTTTACATTATAATGGACTACTTATATCATTAATTGTTAATTCAGATTATACAGTTTGTATTTTGTATATTATTAAAAAGTTAATTTGATAATGCTGCAAATAAAATGCAGTTATTGCCTTGATATCACTATTATTTTTGGTTAGTTGGCTTAATAACACCCCCCCTCGAAAAAACTATTGCCAATTCAGCTCACATTTTTTTGACATATGCCCAAGCACCTTTTTCTGTGATAAAACTGAAGTTCTGTTGTTACTTTAAGCTTACCTTAACAACAAGACTTTAGTAAAATGCATCTTAATATGCACAATAATTTTTCTACACTTTGCATAATATTGCTTACTCCAAAAGGGTATAGTCCAATGAGCAGCTGACTCTACGTGCACTCATTTTTACTGAAACACATTAGCTATTCTAATACAGGCAATCCCCAGTTTAAGAACAAGTTCCGTTCCCAAGGTTTGTCCTTAAGTCGAATTTGTATGTAAACTGGAACAGTATTATTGTATAATATTGTATAAGTAGTATTGTGCAATGAACTTGAACCAATTATACCAATGACAACATGGTATAGTATGTCATGTGTTGTTCATCTGAGGTTGTATTTACCTACTTTTGAGAACTGCTAAGGACCAGATGATTTTTATTATGTCCGGATACGTAAAACCATAGAACTCAAAGAGGGTGTACTTCCTTTTTCACACAACTGTATATCTAACTTGAATCACTGTGTATTTAACTCAAATTTTGCTACAATAGGTTCCATTCTTAACTATGGGTCATCCTTAAACTGGGCATTGTTAACCTGGGAATTACCTGTACTTATCTACCTGGTGTAATTTAGGGGGAAATAGCTTTGACTATATCACCACTCCAAGATTTAGAAGAGGACAGAAACAGGGAGACCGTGAATTCCAGTCCCACCTTAAGCACAAAGCCACTCCAGTGACCTTGGGCCAGTCACTTTCTCTCAGCCCTAGAAAGCAGGCAATGGCAAGCCACTTCTGAAAAACATTGCCAAGAAAATTTCAGGGACCAGTCCAAGCAGTTACCAGAAGTCAAAAAATGTTCTGGATTCAGAAACTTTAGGGTTCTATCTATAGTATCTCCAAATAAAATGTGGTATAGTCTCTGAGGGTACCCTGCTCAAGGTTCTATAAGGCTAATAGACCAATTGTGATTAATCATACATCATCAGATAATACAAGACTGACTAACTGACTGAGACATGTATTATTTTGGAAGGTATAAAGCCATTCATACTGTTTAGCAATCTGGTAACTATCCTACAGAATTTATTAAATTTTTTTTAGAAACTAATTCCACCAGTATAATGAATAGCCAATCCCCCCTCCCCAACATACAGGATACTCCTGCTAAAAATTTTATGCATTCCGCCATCCCCCCCAGCAAAAAAACCCAGATAAACAGATATTGCAGTAGAAAATCTTTTGACTGGGCTGGAGATAAATCAAAAGTACAGTTCTGTCACCCTCCCAAAAACCTGGGGTTCCCATAAGAGAACATAGCTATAATTATATTTGATTAAATTTTATTTTAAAATGTTATGATGAATGGAATTTGAAATTTGAAAGAGAAATACTTACTGTTGGTTTTTGAACTTTTTCCCAATCATCCTGAAAGATACAAAACATTTTATTTTGTTACAAATTAATATTTAATCCATTCATGAATCACTTTTGGTTAACTCTTCAAGAGATAAATCATTATCTGTTCCTCAGACATATAAGCAATTAGACAAGTGTTTACAACATAGCAATGAACACGGTACAGCACAGTTCGAATTACAGCAATAGCAGAATGATTTGGGAGGTGGGATTAAAAGAATCAACAAAAGCAGCAAGAACAGATGTATTATTTTGGAAGGTATAAAGTCCCATTATATTACTGAGATATCATTACAGGTAGTCCTCATTTAACTACCACAATAGGGACTGGAAATTCTTCATTAAGCGGGGTAGTCACTAAGAGAGGCATCACGTGACTGCACCCAATTTTATGACATTTTTTGCAGTGGTCATTAAGCGAATCACGTGGTTGTTAAGGAAATCATGCAGTTGTTAAGCGAATCACACAGTTCCCCATTGTTGGAAGCTGGCTGGGAAGGTCACAAATAGCAAGCACGTGACCCCAGGAGGCTGCAACCACTGTAAGTGCAAGCTGGTTGCCAAGCACCCGGATCGCGATCATGTGACCATGGAGACACTGCGATGGTCATAACTGTGAAGATCGGTTGTAAGTAGCTTTTTTTCAGCACCACTGTAACTTTGAATGGTTGCTAAATGAATGGTTAAGTGAGGACTACCTGCATAATCAAGGCTGTCAACATTAATTCTTGAACAGAATCATATACCAAAGCTGTATTTTATCCAAGTGAACCATTAATTACGAGGAGGGCCCATTTACAAAGAATACAGAATGGGAAAATTAAAATATACATCAGGTTTACATACGTTAATAATTTTATTTACAATTTCATTTTATTAAAATATGAAAACTATAGGAACGTGAATGTCCATGCTTTTTGTACTTACTGGATGAAGTTCCCCTATAATAAATGATTCTGACAACGTCCTGGCATCTGTAGAATGCCCAACATCTTCAAAACTTTCTGTTGCATCTCCACCTGCTTGTTCCCTTAGGACTTCTTCACCACCAGGATGCTGTTAGTAGAAGAAAGTATGGGGATGTCTGCGTATATACTTTAATATCATTAAGAATTGCTGTAACTTGCAATTTGCAAACTCAAATATTGTGAACATACATTTAGCATTCTAGTATTTTTAATGTACAATCTGAAAATAAAGTTCATTTTTTCCTGTTCGCTAATCAACTTTTATCTTTTTCATAGTTCAATAACATAGTATTATAACTCCTATAATTAAATAAAGTAAAATGCCCATCTAACCAAGCCATTATTTAGTCTCCAGACTTATTTATTTGATTTATGTCCACTGCAGTCAAGAAGACTCTTGGTGGTTTACAATGTATCTATAAACAGTACAATAAAATCTCCACAGTACAATAAATAAAAATACCAATAAAAGCAACTAAAGCAACACAATAAAACATCCATAATACACAAATAAAACAAAATGAAGATAAGCAGACAGCAGTTAATATATAAGCAATTACAGAACAAATAAAATCAATCACAATGCTTCATACTCCTAATGCTCTATGGAATAATTCTGTTTTTAATAGCTTGTAGAAAACCAACAATTGGAAGCTGATAACATTTTCAGGGTGAAGTTACTCTAGAGCACAGGCAAAACAACAGAAGAAAAGCAGTTCCTGCATGCTTCTGTCCCCTTTACATCAGAGAAATGAGAAACCATTAACTAATATGCTTTAGGAAAATCTGCTAAATCCAAACTGGTTGTTGAAGATGGTCCTGCAAGAACCTCAGTACCAAGCCAAGTAGGGCTTTAAATGTTAAAACTAACACTTTGAACTGCACTTGAAAGCATATGAAGATGTGAGACTCAGAGCACAGATGTCACATACTCATGTTGACCTGTACCAGCAAACAAATGGATGCTGCATTGTGGACCAACAGAAATGTCCAGGTGATTTTCAAAGGCAGCCCCATATAAAGTGCAAATAAAATAATAAATAAAACAAAACAAAATGTAGCTGAAATATTCACAAAGAAACCATTAAGCAACTACTACGGTACGATCCACTGTCTATTTCCAGAATTTATCAAAAACACATTTGCTCATAACAATATTCCTGGGAGGAAATCAAAATTGCATGTTCACAACAGCTCAACAGAAAAAAAAAAGTCTTGCCTTTGCAGATATAGATCTGCATAAAAGTGGGCAGCCATAACCTCAGGTTTGGAATTACCGTATTTTTCCGACTATAAGACGATACTTTTTTCTAAAATCCTTACCCTAAAAATTGAAGGGCGTCTTATTCAAGGAAGTCAGCCGAGGAGAGAACCGCGCAAAACTGCCCATACTTTGTTTCTGCAGAGAG